GGGCGGCGGGCCGGGCCCCGGCGGCGGCGGCGGCGGCCCCGAGCAGGACGAGGACTATCGCTACGAGGTGCTCACGGCCGAGCAGATCCTGCAGCACATGGTGGAGTGCATCCGCGAGGTCAACGAGGTCATCCAGGTGCGCCGGGGCGGGGGACCGGGACGGGGGGGGCCCTCGCAAACACGCCCGCCTCTCGCGGGAGGCCTCTGGGCGCCGCGCACGGCCCGGGGYGGCCCCCCGTGCCCGGCTGTGCGGCGGGGCCGCCCGCAGCCCGTCCGTCCGCAGGGCCCGGCTTTGTCCCCGCTCGCCCCGTGTTCCCCGTCGCTTCTCCCGCAGGTGCCGGGAGCTGGGCACCGGGGTTTCCTTTGTTCCCCCGCCCCGGTAGGGAAGGCGAGCGGGAGGAGGCGGCCCGCCCGTTCCGGAAGCCGCGGGTCGGCTCTTGGCTCCGGAGCGGGATGTTGGCCGCTGGAAAAGGCCGCTGTGCGTRCGTGGGACGCACGGCTGCCCGGGCGCTCGGCGAGGGAATGGGTAAATGGCCCTTCAGAAGTCAAAATACACTAACCTTCGTATATAGCAGCGTGCACGTCAGGCTGGATAAAGGAATCTAAATTAGCTTTCTCCCTGCCGGAGCGCGCAGCTAAAGGAGGTGTCTTTGTTAAACACAGGTATCTGTTTGTTGCCTGTTATTGAGCCCAGTATCGGGGCGCAGATGCGCGGGCAGCGAGTTAGCCATGCAAATGTGGGCCAACCTCAGGTTTGTGCTCGTTGAATTAGCGGCTGAAATGGGCACCATGCGTTTAGCGAGCAAGGTGGTGAAAACCACGGCCCGATTCTGCCATTTCTCTCATCTGTACATGAGTAAAGTGGCAGAAATGTCCCCGACGGTGAGCAGCAACACGTGTTCCTACTGGTGGGGTCTCCCCGTCTTGGCCCGTGTGCTGAATTCGCTCCCCTTTTTTTCCCCAAACTAATTTCTCAGTCGAGGTCCAGGCTTCTTAGTCTGTGTGTTTTCCTTCTCTTGCGCCGCCCTCGTGCAACTCGTGTGCTTGACGTCAGAGCAGCAGAACTAGTGGGCAAAAGTCAATAAAGGTAAAGGACTCTGCTCCCTTCTTGGACCTGGGGAGCTGCAGAGGGCCCCGCTTTCGTTGTGAAACAGTCTGCGCAGCCACGTCGTAGTTACGCCCGCCCCCAGCAGCGGGTTTGCAATTGTTGCTCCTGGTTTAATAGAGAAGAGTACAGAAAACTGTTGTACGCTCAGAGTAAACATGAGCTCTAAAGTCAGCTTAAACGTTAGAATATGTCAGAAGAGGGTAGAAAAACATGCAATTGTCTTGAATTGCTTTTAAACGTCAGCTTATTGCTATTTGTTTCCTAGTCTGTTTGGAGGTAAATGAGCTTAATTCAGTTGGTGCTTGGGTACTTGCTCATCCTCGCTGCTGTTTCTTTGTGGCAAAAGCCTCCAGGGCTCTGTGCTGTTTATTCCCTGCTCCTGGCACCCGACCAGGATTGCTGCTGCCCCTTTACTGGTTCAGGAAACCTTTTCTGGAGTCACGTTGGCTCGGGATCCTGCTGCAGATCCTTGGTCGCAGGCTGTGATTCACTTGTTCCAGTGTAGCCCTGGAGGATTTTGGTCTCTTGTGCATCAAAATTCACATCTTGGTGTCAAATGATTATGGTTGCAGTTATGGTTTGTAGCACTTGGCGACTTATTTGCCCAAGTGAAGTTGTGATGCGGGAGGGCCCTGTACCTGGAAAAGTTGGCTATAAGCCTTCTGCCAAGGTACCAATTTCCGATCCAAAAATCAGGTATAAATACGTTTTTTGTTCAAGTTACCTTTTCACTCCCAAGTGCAAAGATGATTATCAGTAAGCAGCAGAATATCCGTGTCTGGGGATGAGACATGGCCCATGTAATTCCCATACATACGGAGCTGGGCTCCAGTCTGTGCTAAAAGGCTATATTTGAATAGCAGTTTATTCCTTGATAAATGTTAGTCAAAGAGACCAATTTTTGTTCATTTTCCAATACTTTTTAGCCACTTGCAAATGACATCTGTGTGTGGAAAAACTCCTTATTTATGGAGGTTTAATCTGCTGAAGACCATGCTGAAACAGTAGCTATTTTGTGGCAGACTTTTGGTGGCTACCAAACATACAAGCTGTGCGGGTAGAGAGCACCGTGCTCTGGGGGAGGGCCCCGTAGAGCCGATACCTGCTGCTTTGGGCTCACTTGGCCGTTGGAGACCACGAAGCTCCCGGTGAACCGGCAGGGTTTCAGGATGACTCAAATACCCAGAATATTTTTGCACTGGTGCTACAGATTTGCCTGGCTGTAAGCAGGATTTCAGGTGCTTAATGATGATTTTTTGCAGACTATTTAGCACTTACACTGATAATCTGGTTTGACCCTTGTGACCCCCAATGAGAACTCCCCTTCACCTGCCACGTGCGAAAATAAACCCCTTAACTGATGTCTGCCTGGGACTTTTAGTGCCAGCCTCAGGCCAGGGTGTCGCTTCCTCATGTCGCTGTGTTTTCATGGAATAGCAATTCATTTGGCAGGTTGTTATTTTGAATTTTAGCCATAAAAGTAAGTGTTTTTTTTTTTTCCCTTTTCTTTTTTCCTCTTTCCTTCCATGAAACAACTTATGGAGTAGCTGCAAAAATGTAGACAGGGAGGGCAGTGTCTGCGAGTTGCGTTAAACAAAAGTTTTTATTTAAGAGTTGTTTTCCCCCTGGACTAAACTGTGCTCTTCCTCTCAGTCCTTCAGGAGGAAAGATTCTCCAAATAAGTCTTCGCGATTTTTTTCCCCCTATTTTTATCCCTGATTGCTATTTATATCTTTGCTCTCGATTTTCTGAAAATAAACCTGCAAACGTTTAGAGCAGCGTGTTTGCTTCTGCTGCGAACAAATAGCGTGWGTCCCAGGCTGTGTTTCTCCTCGCAAGCCCCAGCGCTTTGGGCCTTTCTGCCTTGGTGGTTTTTCCTTTTCGGACCCCTTTTTTTGAGCGGCTGAGGGACATCCTTGTGATGTCACTGGCCGGGTTTGATGTCACTGACTGCGTTGGTTCTGTCTGTACCTCTGTAACCTTTGGGAAAGGAGCCGAAAACACTGGGCTGCAGCTCCGAGAGAGGGCAAAAATTGCTCAAGACCCGGGTTTAAAGCAAAACACACGGAATGCCAACAAAACGTTAACCCCAAGGCTTTAAAATAACATGTTTTAAGAACAGAACAGAGAGCGTGCGATACCAGAATATTTGTGCTGAGTTTTCCTTCCTTGTTTAGCTGATAAACCTGAGTTTCTCCTTTCAAAACAGGTACAGGGCTTTAGTGGCTTAAAAAATTTGATATTAAAAGATGTCCAAGCCCCACGTTACCGTTCCCCACTTGCTGAATTTGCTGGGGAGCAGCTTTTTTGAGAGGCCRCCATGAATATTCCCTGAGTGCTGCTGTGCCGCTAAGCAGAGCTCTGTTACCGCGAGCGTCGACCTGTTGTTGCTTGGGAAAAGTGGCTATGTTAAAGGGAGGCTGGATGTGGTGGAACAGAACAAAACATCCCGATTCCTGGGCGTAACTCGGGAATTTTCCCTCCCGGTGGTGTAACCCAATGCTGCTGCCAAATGTTCAAAATAGGTTGCCCGAAAGAGGGATGGGGAGCAACGGGACTTGCTGCTATCGTGCAGGCTTGTGCTTAAAACTGTATTTTGTGTTGGAGATGATAGGTTGAAAATGTGGAGTGCTTAAAACCTCTTGCCAGGCGCCAAGTAGGAGGCTGTGGGAGTCAGTGCTTCAGGTTGATGCCCCTTGCGCCTGGATCCGCTTGCAACCCTCTAACTCCGCTTAGTCAACGGCTGGTTGTTTCACAGGGAACGGCTGCTGGCTCCTCGATGTGATGATGCAGGAAGGAAACGCTTTGTTAAACTTGCAGTTTCTGTCGTGTGGCGTTTACAAGGTGTTTCATTATGGCAGGAATGCATTTAATATTTCCAAGGAGCAGAGCAAACGTCGCTATGACGGAGCTTGTTCCCGAGAGCTGCTCTGTGGGACCACAGCGGCTTCCTGGAAATGACTCTGTATCTGGTCACAGCTAAGACTTGTAGTTCTGAATTCAGTAGAAAACCTTGTGCAAGGGTTTATAAATCACAGGAGGCTTTTCTACCTTGCCCCTGTGTACGTGCAAGTCTCCAGCCTAACCTAGGCTTGATACTTAAGCGGCACATTTGCTCAGTGCTTTAGATTTCCCTTTCTGTTAGGCCAAATGCAAATCTTGTGGCTGGCCACGAGTCAAAATTGATGCTGTTTTTTTGCCCCAACATAATTTTGCAAAAATCACCACAGGCAGCTTTCTCCTGATGGCCTTTSCTGCAGATGGGGACTGGGGTGTGTTGGGGACACTTCAAAGTGAAACCGAAAACACTGTTTGTTTCAGCTACTCTAAAATATTTATATTATTATTCATCCCATCATAGGAGGGAATACTAAGCTGTAGATACAGTAATTGGCATTTCCTGTCGGTTTAATTTGAGCTGCTAGGAGCCAAACTGGCCAGGCAAAGTAGAAATGCCACTTCCATGAGGACCTGGTGGCTCCAGTGACTTGGAGAAGTCAGGATTGAAACAACAGCTCTTGTTTCATGCTTCGTGGTGTGAAACGAGGGCTATTTCTGGGTACAACCTGGTATGTTGGAAGGAAAATGCAAGATGAAGCAACAGTTTTCACTTTCCCACGTATCCCAACTTCTGCCTCTCCTTTTTTAAGCTTGCCTGAGTTAAGCGTCACTAYTGGAAATACAAATAAGCTTCTGACGCTGCCTCTGTTTTTGTGATGGAGATGTAGTGTTGGCCCTGCACAGAATTATGGCACATTTCTGTTTAGTGCTGTTTGGTCAAAAAAARAAATATGTTCAGGAGTGTGAAGCGAGTCTCGCTGTGACGGTCTCCTCCTGCTTGGGCCTAAAGCTGAGACCTGCAGCACCTCAGCGTTGGCTTGAAGTGACAGCACCAACTCCTAAGTCAGAAGTAGCTCCTTGCGCAGTGTCTCCTCCAAGTCTCCCTGACGCCTACTGTATTTTWTGTGTGTTTTCTAATTTGAAAGCAAGCCTTCTTCCCAGTACTTCCATGAACGAGATAAACAAAA